AAATCAAAACCCATACGCGTCTGCTGGTGAGTTTACACTGACAAGAAATTGAAAAGGGACGGTGCCAATGCCCTTTTGCCTTTTTTCTGGACTGTTTTTCTTGTATTTATTATCCTTTATTTTTCAAGTAATATACAATTCATTCTCTAACAATAACTATGTGAATGCAAAATTAAAAGAGAGCTGCCAAAATCAATTAATTATTATGATAAATAACATATTAAAACAGTGCAGATGTCAAAACGTAAGGGACCGCAAACGATTTATTTCGAAAATATTTGTTTAAAGGTCATATCCTATTTTTTCATTAATTAAATTAAGTATTGCAGTTTGTATATCAATTTAAAGAGGTGAGGAAAGCTCTGTTTTGAAAATATTTTTAAAGGGGGTTGTCACCTGTCAAATTAAATTTAATAAATATATAGATTGAAACATTACAAAATGATGCAAAGTCAAACAAGTTTAAGAAGGCTTTCACTCGAAAATATTTTTACACGTGGTTGCCACCTCTTTAAAATTTACACTAAATTCAGGCAGTTACTTTAACGAAAACAGTTTTGAAGAGGGTGCCACCTGTTTAAAAAATCAAATTCAAGTTAACATTTGGAAAATGGAAAATCTTTCGCCATTACCGAAAAGATACATGAAATATACCAATGATATACTGATATGAAACAAAGAGTGTTGGTTTTTTTATTCAGACAAATTTTTTAAAAGAATGGCATGCTATTAAAATAGCAAAACAATATATATGCAAGTTTTTTTTTTTAATACTACAATGACCAACTCAATTGACACATTGACCACATTCTGGAAACTCGCGACAAAAACCCCCTTTGGTTAGTAAAATGTATTATTTTCGGTAACTTAATTTATTTTCTTTTTTGTTACATTTGAAATCGTACGTACTTAATTGAAAAATAATGGAAATTAAATAACAGGAAAATAACCAAGAAAAAGGAGTGGACAAATATTGTTCCTATTCAAGTGTATGGAAGTGTATAAGCACGGTGACCATACGTCATGTATTATACGGGACAGTTCTCTTTTTTGACCCATTGTCCTGGTAATTTATTTATTTTATACGAGACGCCAAATGTTCTGTATTTCTTTTAATGTCCTGTATTTGTCCCGTATTCGGTGTTTCGACACCTTAACAGCTCATTAAAATGGCATGCCTATGAACGAGTGTTAAGTGATGTTGGTATATGATCGTAATTTTCTCCATAAACAGTTATTATTTTCTAATCTGAATGCCTGTGATTCGAATCGAGGAATACATACAGTGATGACGACTTTGGCTTTGTGCGAAGAACTATAAAAAGTAATTCTGCAATGTTTCACCAAAATTTCAAACTTTTTAATTAGAATCTTTTGGTTTTCAGTTTTGTAACTGATTAAAATTGAGTATAATAAAGTGCGCGTGGAAAGTGCTGCTCATTTGCTTCTCTTTCGAAAAAAAGGTCGAATATACTTACTTTGTATGAAAAAATGCGTAACAACGTCAACAAAAAAAAAAAATAAATGCCAAAAATTAATGGTAAGCCTTGGCAACTTAAAATTGCACTTTGTTATGTTAAAATTTGACGATTTTTTTTTAAACAAATTTTGCGGGGTAAAAATCTCGAGAAACCTATCCTACAAATTTGTGATGCTACTAAAACGATACTGTTTCAAGGCTTATACATCTAGGATCATAAAAGAAGGATTTAAGATCTGTAAGCTGTTGTGAAAAAAAAATTGCTAAATAATTTTTTGTCCAGTATTCGGCTCTAATAAAGATGGTCACCCTATACATACGGCACACCATCATCCGGCATCGCATGGCGTATGAGTGACGTTTTATTTAGTGCTTGTGTAAATAAATGCGGTCGTCTAGCAAATTTGTGGCGCTTGGAATTTTCGTGGCAGTTTATTTTGCAAACTGATGGATTTCGTTAGTTGTTTTGGCATATTTCAAGTTTTATCCGGCATACTGCTTTTTTGTGTGATAACCCGGTAAGCCCAGGAGAAGCTTCCGATTTAGAGATGGGGGACTGCGAAAACGCCTTGAGTTACCAGTTGGATCAGCATTGCCTTGTTTGGGCGAGTGCCTGCGTTTGCATACCGATGAGCCTCACTCAGATATTAGGGTTTTTAACAGTACATTTAGCATGTTCCTACTCTCTTTTTGTTCTATTCACCTTTCCCGTTCCGGATAAGAGAGGAAATTGTTGGATGCTTAACTTTTATATTTAAAAGTTAAAGTTTTATAAATATGTGCATATAGCTACACAATTTCTGCCTTCTTTTGGCTTTCCTATCAATAGTGCTGACATAACCTCTCCTGCATATTACAAGAAAAAATCTATGTCTTTCAAATGGTTAATTTATAACAATTTATCATATTTGTTTTTTTTACTTTATCTTTCTATGTCCTCTAATTTGGTGCATAAATTACCCGATCCGTTGGGATAGCAATAATAATAGCAAAAGCATAAGTGATTTTCCACAACTAGTATATATGCATATACATATGCATATTTATAAGAGTAAGTATGCACAAACTAATGCCATTTATATACATTCACTCTCCGCCACATGTACAGAGAGCATGTGCATATTTTTCCCAACGCCTGCATGCTGGGCTGGTTGTTTGTTGTTGGCCAAGTGCGCACAGCATTCCGGCTGCATTATTGAGTTAGCAAAAACTTCCAAAAAAAAAACAAGAAAAAAAGTTGACTCTCAAAACTCTCAGCTGACTTTTTAACTCAACTTAATAAAACTTCGCATTCATATCTCAGATTACAGCCATGTATGTAAGTACATGTGCATGTTTGTATGAGTCATACATACCTGCCAAAATGTGCACACATATGTTCAGTAGATATGGTCGCGTTTGGCGAGTCTCGCGAGTACCGCGTACGTGTAAATGCCTACGTGCTGGTTATTCAGATGGCGTGCTTACCACATCACACCCACCAAAAATGGTAAACCTCCATTGAATACGTAATTCGTTGTCGGGAAGTCAAGTAATTTTGCTTCCTTTGCATTTATTTTATTTTTTTTGATTTTTGACTTTGGGAGAGTTATTGCATCGCGAATGTGCTGATATGCTTTTTGAGATAATAAAAATGTTTTCAGTCACTTAGAGAAATTTTGGATCCTCATAGAATTTGCTTAATTATTTTAAGCACTCCCGCGGGATGTTGAGTTCTAGAACTGTATTTACTGCATCTAACATCCGTAGTCGTTGATGGCAAATAAGTATTTTTTTTTTATTACTTGCAAAAAAGTGTAAGTGAAGTTTACGGTATATAAACCAAAAAAATATATAAAAAATAAGTGAACAAGTTACACCGATTTGTCCTTATATTTCGCCTTTTGGAATATAATTTCATCATGAGCCAAGCTCCCAGACGACACGCAAAGTGGTGGATGGCCGTGCCTGAGGTTGAGAGTTCACTCAGAAGAACAGCAAGGGCAGCACTCCTTCGCAGCTTCAAAGCATTCAAGAAGGAAACCGTGCGATTGATAAGATGCCTTTCTGAGAGCCCTACACACTGAAAGCGCTAGAACATCTAATAAATTTAAATTTATTTATTTATTTTTTTTCAAACAATACTCTTTCTCGCTTGACACCCGTATCAAAATATTTCATTTCAGGTTTTAATTAAATTGATTTGAATTTCAGCTGGCAACTCACTTATAAAATATTTTCGCTAACACCGTTTCAAAATATTTCAACTCAGTTGTTAATTAAATTGATTTGGAATTTCTAAACAGGCGGCAACTCACTTCTAAAGTAGTTTCGCTTGACAAACCTATCAAGATATTTCATTTCAGTTGTTACTTAAATTAAATTTGAATTTCTAAACAGGTAGCAACTCACTTCTTAAATATTTTCAAAATACATTTTCTTAAACTTCTCTCTTTTGATGTTCAAATAAAATATTTTATTTAACTTGTTATTTAAATTTATTTGACATTTTTTGAGCAGATGGCAACTTCTTAAAAAATAATTTCGAAAGGTAGCTTTTTTACAATCTCTTCGTTGGTTACCCATATTAAAATATTTCATTTAACTCGTTAACTAAATTATTTTTAATTTCTTAACAGGTGACAGCCCCCTTTAAAAATATATTTGAAATAAAGCTTGCTAAAACCTCTATCGTTTTATACCCACACTCAAATTTTTTATTTAAATTGATATTAACTTTTTGGACAGCTGGCAATCTTCTAAAACAATATGTTTGTAATAAATCGTTTTTGACTCCCTTTAAAAATTATTTGAAATAAGGCTTGCCGAAAACTCTTACGTTTTATACCCACATTAAAATTTTTCATGCAACTTGTTATTTAAATTGATTTTAGCTCATTGAACAGGTGGCAACCCTCTAAAATAATGTGTTTGAAATAAATTTACTTTTGAGTCTATTTTGTTTCTTACTAAGCCTATGCGTTTATTGAATTTAAATATTTTAAAGCTGGCAATCCCCTTAAAATATTTTCGAAATAAATATTTTTGGAACACATTTCTTTTGACACCATATTTTTGTAATATTTTATTTAACTTACTAATTGATTTTAACTTTAGAAAAACTCTGCAAAAATTTGTTAATCCGGGTTATAACCAATCTGGGTGCCAAATTTCAAACGAAATATTTGTACATATGTATCCAGACGTTTTAGCTTCCAGGAGCAGCAAACATACCTACACACTCGCTCACTCACAACGTTTCACATTTACACACATACATACTTATAATAGTAGTAGGATTTCCCAAAAGTGGTTCAAGTTACTAAATTATTTTGCAACACTGTGATTTTCTTTGCTAAGTATTAGAAAGTTTATAATAAACACTTTTCGCTGCCTTTTCCGTGTAGCGACCAATTCATTTTCCACGAAAGAGCAGCCATTAATTTTCTCCATCAGCACTCACTTGTTTAAAAGGAAGTACTTAAATACATATTTACACATGTATGCGTAGTTATGCTAAGCCAATGTTAGTTGAACTTACCTTCGGTGTGGCCACCGCATGCGCTCCATCATACACGTACAGATGATCATTGCAGTCCAGTTGCAACATATCGAAGCGCAACATGAAACGTTGCAATATCGAATGCGTTTGAAATGTGATGATGCAGTCCAGATTGCGTTCATTTTGCGACCAAAGTACAGCGCCATCGATTTTACGATAAAGCTGCTGTAGGAAGTGATTCTTGCACAGAGCTTGCATGTAATCTGGAAAATAAGAGTCAGAAAACGTGGTGGAATAAGTATAACAGTTGGAATAATATTTAAGAAGGCGATGCTGTGTGAAAGTTTAACTTGCGCCACATACATACATATATTTATGTAAAGAGCGAGTAAAATGCGCGTAAATCGTTAGCAAAGATGCTAATACTAAACTGAAGTGAGTGGTTCTTACTCCGACGCGTGTGTGCGTGTGTTTGTGTATGAGTGGTGGTGGTGGTGGTGTTAGTAAACCGCAACGCTAACTGGCAGCCAACTCCATCGTACCAGCGCTTACCGAAAACGAATAGTCAAAAATCACTGCTTAATGCTTGCAAATGGCCAAAAAGTGGTTGGCTGCGCATTTCGCAGTGCAGTTGATTTCATGGTCTTAGCGCTCTGTGGCTGTGGACATAGTCGAGTGCATTAGAAATTTAATGGCAAATAAAAAATTCATTTGCGCTGCGTTAGCGTGAAACCAACACGCGAACGAATACATAAAAAAGTTAGCTTACACTTGCATTCGTGTGTTTGAGGATAAAAATAAGTAGAATTTCGGAAGTGATTTTCTTCAAGAAATTTTGCAGCAGCAGGCAACTCCTTGTCGTTCTTCATGTAGCTGATATTAAATTCAGAGAGTTGTATGTGTGTGTGTGCGTCGTCGATTCCTTTATCACGCGATAGTGCATTTGCTATAGTCCAAAGCAAAAAAAAAAAAACACTGCGAACATAGGCTGATATAGTGGGACCGTTGGAATATATTCAGCAGATTCGAGTTAGTTGCCATTGCGCATATCTGAAAGCGCGTTCCAAGAACTACTAAATCAACCTGATTTTCTGAGAAAATCGTAGTGACGGGTAGCTCATTTAGGACAATTTAGACCATTAGAAAATCTCCCGACTGAGCTCGGTTTCCGCCAGTTATCTTTTCTTTGTGAATTGCTGAAAATTCCGGTTCTCTGAATAGCCGCAGTCAGCTAAATAATAGCAGCAGTTTTAATTGAAAATTGGGAGTTCTGATTTTTTAGTGCATGGCAGTGAATAAGAAAGTACTCAACACTTTCCACCTTCACTTCCTCCTACTTCTTAGTCTAGATAAAAACCATTTTCTTTTAATTTCAATTAAGTAATAAAAGTTAATAAAATATACTAATATTCCAATTCAAGAATATTCTTATTCTGTCATCAAATTATAACTTAAGAAAGTTTTACTACATGGCAGTTGAGAAGTATGTAGACGTCCAAAAATTTCATAAATTTAATGAAGGAAATTCTTGCACATGCAGCAGTACATAGCATGCATTTAGGGGCCTGGTGTTAGCAGTCGCGCTTCAACACATAATGTACAACGCTTCTGTAATAATCTGCTGTAAGACTTCATAGAACTGGATTTGTAGAATGGAAGAACGAGCAAGTATATCAGTATGCATAACTTCTCGAGTAACCTTTCACCGATTCTATATGACCTCAAGTATAACAGCAAGGCCCTAGGGAATCTTTTTGACATCGAGAAACAAGCTTCAGTACATCGTCTCTAATACGGTTGGAGTAGACTTTTTCTCTGAATTCCTTTGAGTAAGACGATTCATCTATCCGCCTAGCCAGGTAGAACTATTTGAATCACGAGGGTCGCTACTCTCTTGAACAACAGGGCGGCTATTACGACAGAGCTCGTTAGCACAGAGTTCACTAAAAGTTCGAAGTAAATTTAGTTTGGGTAACAAAGCTGATGATTAGTGAAGTATCTTCACAATAATCAGAGATTAGGTCATGGGTGGTGTGTGGTGTCAGATTGCGATATCGTCGTGTACATTAGGGTGATCCTTAAAAAATAGACATCTAATTTTTAATTGGGGCACCCATTTATTTTGTTCTACGTGCAAAATAAAGACATGCAAAAATTAAAAAAGTAAAAAAAAAATTAGGATCGCAGCCAGGGCTTGATTTTGTTTGTTTTTAAATCGGAAAAATTCGAAAAAATGTGACATATTATTGAAACTTATTAGCACAAGCTCATAAACCCGCTGAGTCAAGGTCAAAATTTAGTCGATGTTCATATTTTTAAGGACCACCCTAGTATACATACATCACAAGAAGAATACATGACCTATTAAAAATTCCAAATCTGAGGAATACCATACTAGGACCATTTCGGTACACATCTGTCTGATAGAAGTCTCCACAACATACCCAATTTTACCAACCATGCTGGGTGGGCGTCAAGCTTTTCCCTATTTATTCCACCCTAACCTAACCAGTAGTCAGATGTATTCTTTTATGGACAAGTGCGTTTAAATAACTGTCGTAGTATGTGCGTACTATGTATGTATTTATGCACTTTTCGCACTAACTACCTTCCTTATAACCAGCATAATTATTAATTCTTCTTTACTTCCAAAAAAGCGTAGTTAAAACTGTTTGCCTGTGCTTGGCAAGCAATCACACAAGCGGTTGTTTTGCGTGAGCGGAAGTGCAGCAGACAGGTAAATGAGTTGAACGTTGCCTAACAGTGAGTAAGAAGCGAACCGTACTGCAAATGGCGTTTGTTAATTTCTAAATTTTGTGAAAATTCAGCTCTTGTCGCAACATTTCGAATGCAATGAACAAATTTTCAGAACATTTTGCTGCAAATGCTTGCTTAATGATTGCAATGCTGCCGTAAATGAGACAGATGAGTGGAGTGTGTGTGGAATAGAGTTGAAAGTATGTAGGTGGGTTGTTATGCGCACCTGGTGGTTTAAAAATTTTCCATGGGTAGTAAAAGTAGAAATTTCGACTTTTCATTGCACATTTCACTGCAATGGTTAATTTTGATGTTGATAAGAGCGGAAAATTTCCAGAAAATTTCTGAAGGGAAGCATATTCTTTGATTCACCTTTTTGGTTCTTGCGGTTGTTGCCGAGAGGGTGGGGGATGTATGGTGTATTTTCGAACGAATTTCCGGCATCCCTTGTCAAATTTTATTTGGAGACAAAATGGTTTCAACGTTGCACCATATTTAGTGTAAAATGACGCTGAAGATAGCACAACGCCAAAACCGGTTTACCTCCAAACGAAATTTGTTAAAGATGACAGAAATGCGTTTTAAAATATATCATATCCTTTGATATTTTTTTGGATCACCTTTCAAGAGATCAACTTCCTTTAACTCTTGGTATATGGATGCTGTCAATTGGACAGCATACACCAAAACATCGAAAAGAGTCTATATAACGTGGATTTCCCCGATCTTAAAAAGATTCTTTCGCTAAAACAACAGTCCTTTCCCGGAAAAAGTTCTATCATCGAAAACCAACTGTCTTGAAGATGAGATTATACCATTTGCTGAAGCATCCTGACTATAAAAATATAGTCTATCATCGGGAATCAATAAATACCCTATTCAACTCACACCTATCGCAGACAAAGAGTCTGAGTTGCTTCATGAGGCTCGCGATACTTTGACACAACTCCATTCAGGATATTGTAGCAGGTTAAACTGTTCAATTCAATTTCAATAAGATGTCCCGACGACACTAACCACCTGTTTATATGCCCACTTACTTCAGCTCTTCCAACATCCCTCTAGCCTTTACCTGAGCTTGACGTTAGGTGGGAATGAAGAAACATTTGTCGCGATTCACTGATTTAGACAGCCGCCAACAAAAAAAAATAGTCAAAGATTTTCGCTATGCTTTCCTTTTATTTTTTAGAAAATTTTCTGCAGTGGAACATTTTTTAGTATTCTGATATAAAATTAATACAAATGTTTTAGTTGCGTTTTCAATAAAATATTTAGAATTTTTAGATTCGGGCAAATAAATGAATTACATACATATGTAGGTGAAAACCTGGTTTTTTTGATTGTAAAAATCCGGTTTACTCGGTATTCTAAAAACCCAAATTAAAAAAAAAAAACCGCTTAAAAATATTCAAAAAACAACCGGTTGAAGCCGGTTCGGAAAAAGCGAGTCAATCAGCCTAGTCCAAAATCGGTACTAAAGGATATTGTGATAACCGCCGAAGAGCCTAGGATAAACGAATGCCCTGAGGTTTACAACAAACATAAGCTGGGTGTTTAAGTCTTATTGCTACAATAAAGGCCACTTCTAGAGCAATTAGAAAAAATGTGCAGTGTTGCCGTTGTGCGACTAAAGGGGCAATTCGACCCTTTTTAAGCACCAATACCCTTTGACCCGACTTTTTGAAAATTTTGAATTTTTACCCTTTTTCAAAATTATGTGCGACTTTGGCCCCTTCTCAGAGATTTTTTAAGGAAATGTTAACATGCATGACTTAAAACTTTTAAAGGAAATGCTAATCGATTTTTGTGTATGTTTGCAAATCTGTTTTGTGCAAAGCTCGTCCCGCTATTTTACTTTATAATACATTCAAATTTGATTTTGACTTTGGTTCTCAGATTTATTATTTTACTAGTAAAGAAAAGCAAAAATAATATGGTGACCCTTTTTTTTCGTCATTTATCCCTTTTTTGCGACTTTCTGAAAATTTTCAACGGAAACAGTGCCATTGTGTGGGTGAAGAAAAGGACCTTGCTTATTTGTAAACAAAACTGCGATTCTTTGTAACTATGCTCTTCAGACTTCCGAGCGCTGAAAAATCTTCTGTAGAGACCACGAAGATATATTTTTAGAATAACAAACTCGATTAGCTAAGATGGATCTCCAGTAGAACTTCTACTGCCACAGCTGCAATCTCGGAGATATGAAGGAAACGATTCTCCATCACCCCTGCGAATGTTTAGCTCTAGACATAGCACTCAGATACTAATTTACGCGAAGTCAATGATTAAACGGAAGACGAAATGTATCTCCTGTTGGCAAATAAAAAAGGAACCAGAGCATACGCGGCTAGGCAGCCACGCCACTATTGACGGTATATGTAATTTTAAAGTTGTTGAGAACTTCGTAAACTGGAAAGCCAGCATTAACACCAATAACAATGTCCGTAAACAATCACTTTGGCTTTAACCAAACATTGTTTTCCATATGAAGAAAAGTCGGAAAAAC